ACTTTACCATGGTGACAACACTGTGCATCAACGTAATCTGAATGTTTATGCTCGCAAGGCATATATATGAACATATATGAAAGACAAACGTAGATGTTTTTACTACAAGAGACCTGGAAGTCTTTTACGTTTAGCAAGTGTGTTGTGCAGTATGATGTTTCTTACAAACCCACACTAAACTCATATAATTAGCAAATATCAATCTTTTTTGAGAAATGGGCAAGTACAAAACATTCCATCATGAAACTGGTTTTGGTACAGCAAGTGCCTTTTCTAGGAAAGTAATAACTTAATTGCTTTATGAGGACATGCTACTTAATGTTTTACACACAAACTGAGCATTGTTTTGGAGAGACATGTCTCTGAGTCGTGGGAGGATTCTTTTGACTGGTTAATTGAATCAAAGATGTTTTTCTGAACAGCTTTGTTGAAGTAAGTAGCGCAAGCTGGTTCTTTTCTCGATAAACAAAAGTCAGTGTGTTAGGCAAGGGAAGGAGTTCCTTGATTTTTATTTTATTTTTATTTATTTTTTTGCATTATTATTATTTGATTGTGCTGTATAATGAAAGTTAATTATTCATGTCATTCCTCTGTTTTGTATGTTACATGAGTGTCTTTCCGTTGCTTAAAATAGCCATTTAATAGATTTGTGTAGGAGTATATACAGATATAATTATATTTATTTATATATATATATATATATATTTGTAAGTGTATGTTTACAGTTAAATGAGACTTTATTGCCAACGAGTCTGAAATATTACAAAGAGTGAAAAATTTAAGGGGGTCTGAATACTTTCCGTACCCACTGTATATGTATGTGTACATATATATGTGTATATATATGTATGTGTACATATATATGTGTATATATATGTATGTGTGTATATATATATATGTATATATGTATATTTATATTGCACGTACTACAGAAAATAGCTTTAAAAAATGAAAACATTTTTAATTTTAATAATTTTTCACAATGTTACTGTTTGTACATTTATTTATTTATTTTTTATCAAATAAATTCAGCCATGGTGAGCATGGTGAAGACTTCTTTCAGAAGCAAATAAATAAATAACTGACCTTAAAAATTTGAACAGTTAATGTGTAATGTGTAATATATATATATATATATATACTTTTTTTTCATTATGAGAACATTATGATACAAGGGGCTCTAAAAGTTTTTCAGAATTTTTTACAGTTTTTTGCTTTAGACCATCTACAAATATTAAATCTACAAATAAAATGTTACGGTTACTTAAAAATGGAGGGAATTTTTTGATTGTTTTATAGTTATTTTTCAAAGCTTTGCATGTACTCGCATTATAAAATAACTTCATTATTGCTTATTTAACCCTAAAAAGTAAGTTTTTGTTAAAAACTAACCAAAATGTAAAATGATTTGTTTATAATCTCTGTACAGGAGAGACTCGATGCTGTTTCCAATCAAAAGGAAATATATATCGGTGTCGGCATCGGGGCAAAATGTCTTGAAAAAATTTCGGCATATCGGATATCGGCAAAAATCCAATATCATGCATCCCTAGTCATTTTCACATCATACATTTCTCATGACAGCCTATGTGTGAAAACTGGATTAAACCAGAGCTGGCTCAGAGGGATAAGAGAGTTATGTTTTGCGGCACTGCTGTTTTTGATCCATGGCACGTTCAGATGTGATCCATCACGTTTAATGGGTCTCAAATGCTGTAACATCAGTGAATGTACAGTGTTTGTATGTTAAAGTGACTCAAAACTCCCTGTGGCTTGTGAATGTGTTTTGTCTTCTGTGGAGTTTTGTAAGCGTGTGTTTAGTTTTTATCGGTGGGTTTTTGCCGCAGAGTTTCGCAGCACTACAGGCCGTCGTCCTGAAATGTGTTTGTGTTCACCGCAGGAACATTCCCCAGATCAAAACACCTTTCATGACTGTGGTTTCTGTGACTGACGGTGTGTTTTCTCTCTGCTGCAGGCCATGGTTCCTGCGGCTCAGACCTCGCTGCTGCTGCAGCCTCTTCTGTCGGACACAGAGTACCGTCTCAGCGTCTCAGCGGTCTACAGCGACGGCGACGGCCCGCCCATCACACGCCTCGCACGCACACGTGAGTCTGCTCTCCACTGAGCCTCGCTCGGGGATTCTGGGTAACGCATACAGCAGTCAGCATGTTAGAGGAGCGACTTTTGCATTAACAACAAGATTTTAAGTTGAAGTATAAATGAATCTAAGAGAAAAGTGTGCATTCTATGGCCTGTAACTCGTTCTAAGGACCACTGACCTTCACTAGTTTATTGTAACTAGTACTGTGTTGTGACAAAAGTTTTATACATGCATTTAAATTCAATTTATTTAAAATGTGTTATAAATTCCAGGGGTGGCGAACGTCAGTCCTGGAGAGCCGCAGCCCTGCAGAGTTTTGCTTCAACCCTAATCAAACACACCTGAACAAGCTAATCAAAGTCTGAAGGGTTGCTAGAAAGCTACAGGCAGGTGCATTTTAATTAGGGTTGGAGCTGAGCTCTGCAGGGCTGCGGCTCTCCAGGACTGACGTTCGCCACCCCTGCCCTAGGACATAATGCATTCTTTAACCCAGTCTTTAACCAAATCTGCTCACACAGCATAACCCTACATATTTGAAAATACCCCATGGCTCTGTTTGACAGTGGGAATTGAAGGTGCCTTGTTATTCCCTGTCATTTTATTGATGGAAAATCACACACCTGAAAACCATTTTAAATGATTTAAGTGACTTTTTGTATCCGTAGTCATTGCCATTTGCCACCTCACTTTTGGACACGTTCAAACACAAATGATAGACCGCTGCCTCACGAACAAAATGAGTTATTTAAATTATGTGGACTCTACCAAATCTAGGGCACTGCCTCAGCTAAAACATCCATCATTTTCTGCTGGAGGCTGTTTGAAAGGAAAAGCTGTTTTTAATGACAGCGAAGTACCTGTTGCCTAATGAGTTTGTATTTTGGATTGCCTTTCTGTATTAGGGAAAGTAGGTTTCTAGGCCTCCCCTGAAGTATATAGCTTGTCTTTTAATATCAGAAATAGCCCACATAAAGTCTTAAGTTATATTTTATAGGAGCCACCTTATGAAGGAGAGTTGAGAGTGCTGCAGGGTTGATTGTACGTACGGCTTTAGCTCAGACTCACAGCGCTCCCTCACCATGTGTTTGGCAGTCTTGAAGCACTGCTTGTTTGGCTTTGTGCATGCAGATCTGTCCAGCAATCTTATTGATTCCTTTTCACAGGACTTTGAACAGGTAGTGAGGTCATGCTGTCGATATTACTTGTTCAGGGCTGTATTTGTTTTGATCGGCCTCAAATGACTGCGAGTATTACGTAACTGGCTCAGTTACTGAGTCGTGACCCTTGCGTTGCCTCAGAACACAAACTCAGAGCTGCAGTCGATCTGGCACGAATCAGTCAGACCCCATCAAAGTGCAGTTTTGCTGTTCATCTAGCTTGAAAAGTTTCATAGCACTGAAATGGTTGTACCTTACTGTTGACAGATAAAAAAGAAAATATGTTTTTTCTCATTGTAACTAATAATGCCACATAGATAAATAGACACACATTTCAGTAGTTGGTCTTTTTTTTTTGCATTACATTTTTTCATTGTCCATTGCTTTTGCTGTTTTTAAAGGCATTCTGCACATTAAAGTGGATCAAAAGTTTGCACATACTCTTGTTGAAAAAGGGAAAGGTTTCTTTGGCTCACTTGCTTATTCATGCCTCCAAAAAGCTCCCATAGGGATCACAAATATTACAAAACAAGAACATATGAACAGCTGTCTCACATTAGTTTTTTTAAGCACTTTGTTTGTATATTATTTTAATACAATAAGGAGCTTTTGGAGTTCATATTTATATTTGCTGTGCCAACATTTTCACTGGCAAAAAAAATTATACCTTTTACTTTTAGCTACATGTTTTGTGATTTGTCAGAAATAACCTATTTCTGTTTTACCAGATACCTATTACAGTGGGGGAAAATATATATATATTTTTTTTTATTTGAAATAAACAGCTGGAAACTGTATGGTTATGTAACACCATGGTCACTATAAATTCATAAACACTTGCTTGACAATGTTGGCATATGGTGCAAAATATTTTTATAATGTCATTTTCAAACCCTTTCAATCTAATTCTTTGAAGACATTCCAGCAATTTCGTCAAAACCTCATCTATCCTCATCAACTAGAAAACTTTACCATGGTGACAACACTGTGCATCAACGTAATCTGAATGTTTATGCTCGCAAGGCATATATATGAACATATATGAAAGACAAACGTAGATGTTTTTACTACAAGAGACCTGGAAGTCTTTTACGTTTAGCAAGTGTGTTGTGCAGTATGATGTTTCTTACAAACCCACACTAAACTCATATAATTAGCAAATATCAATCTTTTTTGAGAAATGGGCAAGTACAAAACATTCCATCATGAAACTGGTTTTGGTACAGCAAGTGCCTTTTCTAGGAAAGTAATAACTTAATTGCTTTATGAGGACATGCTACTTAATGTTTTACACACAAACTGAGCATTGTTTTGGAGAGACATGTCTCTGAGTCGTGGGAGGATTCTTTTGACTGGTTAATTGAATCAAAGATGTTTTTCTGAACAGCTTTGTTGAAGTAAGTAGCGCAAGCTGGTTCTTTTCTCGAAGTCAGTGAGTCAGTGTGTTAGGCAAGGGAAGGAGTTCCTTGATTTTTATTTTATTTTTATTTATTTTTTTGCATTATGATTGTGCTGTTGTGCTGTATAATGAAAGTTAATTATTCATGTCATTCCTCTGTTTTGTATGTTACATGAGTGTCTTTCCGTTGCTTAAAATAGCCATTTAATAGATTTGTGTAGGAGTATATACAGATATAATTATATTTATTTATATATATATATATATATTTGTAAGTGTATGTTTACAGTTAAATGAGACTTTATTGCCAACGAGACTGAAATATTTTTTTTTCATCTTGCAGTATATCAAGATACCTGCTTCCTCGGATTCTCCTGATGCTTTCCGTGTCTTCTCCTTCTACCTGTCCAGTGACAGTAAAGACAAACCTCAGGCAAGCTTCGACTGTATTCACCAGTATGTTTCTGGGTAAGACATTGATATTCAAATAAGATAAAAAAAAAATTATAATTATTATTATTAAAATAGTATAAAAATAACATCCTGTTATTTTCTCTGTAGAGCACATACAGTGACAGCTCTGACTACGGCTGCACAATTAATCGAATTTCTAATCGCGATTACAATTCCGGATGTCACAATTACGTAATCGTTCAAAGCGGCAATTAATCGTTCAAACTCCACTTATGTTATTCTGCATGCTTAAGATGTTTTTTTTCTGTCTACAGGCTATCTTAAGGGTTTTTCCATTGTTTTAATTTAAAATTTTTATATAATATTATAATAACATGCATATTTTTTTTACTTTTTTTTTTTTTTTAAAGAAGAAATCAATCCAATATAGAGTTGATATTTGAGGCTTAATGCTATAGAAAAGCAATACAAGTTTTTCAGTTAGAGTATTTTCAGCTTGTTTATTTTCATTTAAAAATATGGCATGCGGTTGCTTCAAACAGTGGTATAATTCAATGTAAATTGTGATAATCGTAATTAATAATCGCAATTACAAATTCAAGGGAATAATCAACAATTATGATTTTTCTCACAATTGTGCAGCCCTAGTTCAGACTTACCAGGACCCTGACAAGCTTCTGTCCAAAAGAAAAAAAAAAAACCTGCAAGCACCATAAATAATAAAACTCTTTTTAAAAATAATTTGTAATTAATAATTATGACTGAAATTTCTTAATAATTAATGTATTAGTTATTATGTCTTAAATGCTAAATCTGTTTGTGGAGCGTAGGTTGTTGTTTGTTAGGCACAACATTTACTTTGATCTTTGAACCCAATTTCCATTACAGTATTTGGCATCACAGTTGGTTGTGAAGTTGCTGTCTCTTGATCGGGGTGGCACTGATCTGTTCACTTTCCAGCTCAAAGGAGACTTGTAGTCTCACAATACTCCACTTGTCTCGCTGAAGAATAGCATTAGATAGGTTTGTGGGAAAGAGGATGCAAAGCAATTCCACAAAAAAACAGTTAAGGCCATTAGTCATAAATTAGTCACTGACTTTCCGGGTGCTTTGTGGACAAAGGAGCAGCTGTAACACTTAGCAATAGGGAGCGAGGTATTAAACATGTCAGTCCTTACATAGCAGGTTGATCTATACTATCAGAGTATTCAAGAAAATTTCTGTTGTGATGTCCGTACTGATTTTGATGTAGCCTTTTATTCGCAATGTTTTTAAACTATAATATGACTATGGCTACTTATGTAATAATATAATTGTTTCAATGTGTATATATTTTGTAAAATATTTAATGTATAAAATAATGTTTTTGTAAGTAAAATATTGGAATATAAATTATTTTTATTACAAACAAATAATTGCATGTAATATTTATATAAATGTTTTTTAATAAGCTCTATACCCATGTCTCCACACCAAATATAAATTCATAAACGCCCTTAAAAATGATGCCATATGGTGACACATTACTTAATTGTTTGTAATTTCCAAATAATTCTAACTGATGCTTTCAAGACTGTAAATTAATTCCTTAGAATTTCAACCAATCTACATGTATATTTTCCAGCATGACAATTTAACTCATTTTGCATTTCCGGTTTTTGCTTAGAGTTGGCAGGGAGCATCTGGAAAGTCAGGGCAGTATTCAGGACAAAATCACGGTGTGTGCCACTGACGATTCCTATCAGATGACCCGCGAACGCATGTCTCAAGTGGAAAAAGACATCTGGAGTCGCTCAGCCATCGAGATCAAACCTGGATCCACACGTCCGAGTAAGAATCCGGCTCATGCACACACACACACACACACACAAAGGTGTGTTATTATCTCCATATGCACAGACACAATTATATCTCATTAAAACATGTCTTATATCAAATAACACAATTCATTTCTTCCAAAAGCAAGTAATATGTTAACCTGGCAGTATCATGTCCTGTTAATAATGGTGGATAAACCAGGATGTTTTTGATCAAGGGATGGTTGTGTATCAGACGAGGCATGTAAGCTGCATTTCCCTCCCCCAATCCCTCCTTCTCAAGCATTTACCTGCAGATGACACCGGCACCGCAGATGACACCGGCACCAAGCCACAGACCTGTTCCATTTCCAAAAGCAAGTAATATGTTAACCTGGCAGTATCATGTCCTGTTAATAATGGTGGATAAACCAGGATGTTTTTGATCAAGGGATGGTTGTGTATCAGACGAGGCACGTAAGCTGCATTTCCCTCCCCCAATCCCTCCTTCTCAAGCATTTACCGGCAGATGACACCGGCACGAAGCCACAGACCTGTTCCATTAATCTGATTGAGACTGCCAGAAGTATGCGCTAACAAGTCTCATCCTGTTAATAATGGTGGATAAACCAGGATGTTTTTGATCAAGGGATGGTTGTGTATCAGACGAGCCGTGTAAAGATGCATTTCCCTCCCCCAATCCCTCTTTCTCAAGCATTTATCTGCAGATGACACCGGCACGAAGCCACAGACCTGTTCCATTAATCTGATTGAGACTGCCAGAAGTATGCGCTAACAAGTCTCATGCTGGGTGGATGAAATTTAGCCCAGGATTTTAATTACCATGGCTGGGGATCAATTAGGTTTTCATTTGCAGAAATACTGAATTATGCATGGGTCTCTCTCTGAAGCAAAGTCTGCAATTCCCCAAGCGATGACTAGAGAGAAGGACACACGTCGCTCTGGCCTCTCGTGTCTAAGAAAGCTGAAAGATGACACTTGAGTGGTTAGAGAAAATAAGGTCTGTTTGATTCGGGGCAATTAAAATATCTGAATCACTTTCAGTGAGGAAATCAAATAGCGCCCTTCCAGAGCTCTGCAGTATCCTTTTTTTTTTCTTTTTTTTTCTTCAGTATGTGTCTCAATTTGCCTTGTAATGTAAACACATTTGAGCTGCAGTGCTTGCTAAGGGGTATAATTTTGTGACAGACATTATAGGAGGACCAAAGCGGGATGAGTTGATGTTGCTCATGTCCTGTTAATAATGGTGGATAAACCAGGATGTTTTTGATCAAGGGATGGTTGTGTATCAGACGAGGCACGTAAGCTGCATTTCCCTCCCCCAATCCCTCCTTCTCAAGCATTTACCGGCAGATGACACCGGCACGAAGCCACAGACCTGTTCCATTAATCTGATTGAGACTGCCAGAAGTATGCGCTAACAAGTCTCATGCTGGGTGGATGAAATTTAGCCCAGGATTTTAATTACCATGGCTGGGGATCAATTAGGTTTTCATTTGCAGAAATACTGAATTATGCATGGGTCTCTCTCTGAAGCAAAGTCTGCAATTCCCCAAGCGATGACTAGAGAGAAGGACACACGTCGCTCTGGCCTCTCGTGTCTAAGAAAGCTGAAAGATGGCACTTGAGTGGTTAGAGAAAATAAGGTCTGTTTGATTCGGGGCAATTAAAATATCTGAATCACTTTCAGTGAGGAAATCAAATAGCGCCCTTCCAGAGCTCTGCAGTATCCTTTTTTTTTTCTTTTTTTTTCTTCAGTATGTGTCTCAATTTGCCTTGTAATGTAAACACATTTGAGCTGCAGTGCTTGCTAAGGGGTATAATTTTGTGACAGACATTATAGGAGGACCAAAGCGGGATGAGTTGATGTTGCACCATTCAGATTTCATATAATAGGTGTGTTTGAGTGAGTTTATAGTATTTGCTTTGGCTTTTTATCCCATAACAGACAAAAAAGTAATACTGTCTCCATGCATATTTTTAACCAGCTCCAAATGCATATGGCGGTCGAAACGGAGCCATGTCCTTCCTTGCACAATTTAGTGCCTGGCAGATACATTTGTTTGACTGAAACGAAAATAAAACAGCCTCCACCTTTTTTCCCATCTCTGTAGTCGAGCAGAGAAACCTCTTGTGGCGGCACACTGTATTTCTGTGGTGAAGTAATGGTACACTTTTCTTGTAGACGCTTCTAAATACTGCTTTTTGACAAATTTACTATGAACTTACTGTTTGATGATTTTGGTTCTCATTCATTTAGCGATCAAGATAAGTACAGTTGTCATTAGTGGTTGACTGATATGGATTTTTTTGACGGTTGATGCTGATATCTTAGTGAGCAGGGTGGAGGCTTGCTGATATAAAGCTAATGTAGGCCTATATGATATCATACTATTTAATCTAAAGATAATAAATAACACATGCATAGCAGTTTCTGCAGTTAAAATTGTTCTACTTAATTATATTCATTTATTATATTCAAATAAATGATTTTAAGATTAATCAATAAAGAAATCAACTTGATAAAAATAAATCCGTAAAATAAACTTCATATAGTAATTTCTTGGTTATGTGATCCTATTATAGTATCCTTTTCACATAAAGTTGTAAAGGAAATAAAGTTTGACTAAATTAATGAAGATGGGTAATAGGAGCTTGCTGGATTCTTGTCCGTGTTAAATAACAGCGATATTTCAGTCAACCACTAGTCGTTGTGTTTATGAATAGACAGAGATCCTTCTAAACTATATACTATAAGTGCAGACATGTACGTTGTGTTATTGTGGCATACTTGAGCACACAAACATGATTAAACAAGTGCTTACTGAGCTTTGTGAGGTAAAACGAATTGATTTTGGAATGTGATTTGATGAGATTGCCTGTAAGGCTAGATTTGATTAAATGCTTGATGATGGAGTCTTATGACACCGGTCTACAGTTCATACAGTATTATTGCCCCAAAATACAGTAAAGTGTCTCCAATGCTTTTGCAGACAGAGAGTGTTTGATTCAGCACTTTTTGCAAAGCTCAACATGTTTAGGTGTCAGGAGGAATTCAGTACTGTTGTGTTTTTTCTCTCGCTCTCATTTGCCAGCATGTTGGACTGTGTAATAGTCAAACATTCCTCATAAATGGGATCATTGTTTTCACAATTCTTGCAATATATCATGTAGTTAATGCAACTGTTGAAATATGAAGACAGCTCTTTCAAGAAATAATAAAGTGTGACAACATTTGCAATAGCAGAACTTCCAACAGAGAATCTAACATTTTTGAGATGGAAAACTGGCCCCTGTCAAACTATATATGTTTCTACAAATTTATGTAATCAGTTTTCCTCTTAATTTTTCAAGGAGTAGTTCACCCAAAAATAAAAAATTGTCATTTTAGTGACTGTTATGTTATTCCAAATGACACAAGTAATGTGCGGGTCACTTGTTTTTCCCATACAGTTACAATAAATGGGGTCTGAAAAATGTCATAAATTACCATATAAGTGCTTATATGACTTGTCTGCTATATTTAGTCTTATATGATAGCTTTGTATTGAAAAATTAATTTGAGAACGATTCTTTAGTGAATTAATTGGTCTGTTTCACAAAACCAGCCTGAATTTTTTATTTATTTTAATTTTTTTCTCAAATCAACCCACTGACTCCAATTGCAGCAGTAATTTTTGAGTTAAGTGCTGACTGGAAGACGGTTTCTAGTGAACAGCGACTTTGTGTTTCTCACACAAAGCTTTCACTGGCATCATAAGACTTGTTATATATAGCGCACAAGCCATATGTGGACTGCTTGGTAGACAGATAAGATACTTTTATGGAGCCTTCTCTTAAAAAATACTTACATTTACATTTAGATATTTAGCAGACGCTTTTATCCAAAGCAACTTACAAATGAGGACAGTGGAAGCAATCAAAATCAACAAAAGAGCAATGATATGCAAGTGCTATAACAAGTCTCAGTTAGCTTAATGCAGTACACAGATCAAGTTTTTTTTTTAAATCAATCAGAATAGAAAAAGAATAGAGCAAGCTAGTGTTAGAGGCCTTTTTTGGTTTTGTTAATCAGAAGTCAAAGTCAGAATTATAATTGTATAATAAATGAAAAATTACAAATAGATAGAATGCAAAAAGATTAGAGAAGCCAGTGTTTTTTTTTTTAAAGAAAACAAGCAGTTAGTAAATAAATAGTTTTAAAAAAATGATACTTAACAAAACCTATAATAATGTCACCGTAAAATAATAATATAATTAAATAAATGTGTATTTTGACATTATCAACGTTATATTATTACAACCTTTTTTTGACATTATTTATTTACCTCTGTCGGGTTACAGCTGGCCCAAATACAGCAGGAAGGTTAACCATGATGGTTTAAAGAGATGAATATCTGTCATCAAAATGAATATTGCCCAAAAGTAAATATTCTGTTATCATTTTCTCACTCTCATGTTGTTCCAAACCTGTACGGCTTTCTCCTCTGCAAAACACAAAATAAGATATTTTAAGAAATGTCAATGGTCACCAGAACCGTTTGGCTACCAGCATTCTTCAGACTATCGTGTGTGTGTGTTTGTGTGTGTGTGTGTGTGTGTGTGTGTGTGTGTGTGTGTGTTCCACAGAAAAAATAAGTCATACAGGTTTGGAACAACATGCGGGTGGTACTTTTTTTTTTGTGTGTTCCACAGAAAACCGTATGTCATATGACGTAAATAAATGATAACAGACAGTTCATTTTTGGGTGAACTTTCCTTTAAGATAATGTGAAGATTGCTTAAAATGACTGAGTAATTTGATTTAACCCAATCCATTTGAATTTAGCTCACAAGACAACAGGGTAGTGTGTTTCTGCAGCAATAACAAAGCCCTAAAGCAGCATAAATGGAAGTATGAATGTTATGTAAAACTAGATGAGCACAGGAGCATAGCACTCGCTGTATGAACAGCTTATGCTTCACTTTGTCCTATTGCAACCTTCAAAGTACAGCTTAAACTTCTAATGAGATTAGGCATGCTTGATATCTATTTGCACTCTTGTGTCCTGCTGGCTCCAGGTGAATTAGCACACTGGTGGGAAGATAGAAAACCGAAAAAACAAAAACGGCTCTATTGGAGGTGCTTTCGTTTCCACGGTTTAGATATTTGCTCAGGAGAGAGCAACGTTTACCCTCAGCTCTCTTCCACACTCTCCGGCCCGCTCGGTGCACGCCAAATTCAGAGTGCACATCCGGAGAACGGGTCATATGAGTGCTGTGGGGGCCGTCATGTTTACTCAAAGCTGTATTTCCTAAAGTGGTCCAGTGCTTGCTGTTTACACTACTGTATGTGTGACTTTGTCACGGCCCCAGTGTTCACCTCTTCTCTGTTATGTGTGTGTCTAATTTCACCTCAGGGCGGCTCGGTTTTGTTTTGCGTAACGAGAGCTTGGCCCCAGAAGTTCTGTGCTATTTGCAGAGCTCTCGGTTTATTTTCAGTGCTGAGGAGGCGTTCGAGTTAGGCAATAATCTTTCAACCCGTTTTATGTCACTTAGCAGATTCTGAGCTTGTTTTAAACTCTTGTGAAGACGTTGAAATATGTTAAGGAAAAATGTAAGGTGAATGTTTTTGTTTTACAGAACAAGTAATATTAATAAAAATAATATATTTTTTCTCCCCGCAGGTAAATGTGTGAAGATTAAGAAGAAACAGGGCCTGCCGACCAGCTTTGACAACACTAATAGACATTCACCCAGCAACAAGAGGAACGGTACACCTAGCTTGGTGGCCCACAGGCCCTTGAAAGAACGTGTCATTCACGTTCTGGCCTTAAAGCCCTACAGCAAGCCAGAACTGCTGCTCTGGCTGGAGAGGGAGAAAGCCAGCCCCAAGGACAAGGTCGACTTGAGTGCTGTGCTGGATGAGGTAAAACACAAGTGCAAGGCATGCTACAGTGCAAATGTGCAACAAACACAATATTTATAATCTAGGTAAATGGAAAAATGTTTGCAAACCTCAGTTGGAATCTTATGAGTTTTTCATATTACAGTGCTATTTAATATAGTTTCAATTTGATGCTCTCACACTAATGACATTTTTAAACCTGAAATAGTGTGTGTGTGTGTGTGCGCCTGGTATTTATCACGTTATGGGGACCAAATGGACATTTTTGAGGTCCCCATGAGGAAACAAGCTTATAAATCATACAGAATTCGTTTTTTCGAGAAAGTAAAAATGCACAAAGTTTCCTGTAAGGGGTAGGGTTGGTGTAGGGCAATAGCACATACAGTTTGTACAGTATAAAAACCATTACGCCTATGGAATGTCCCCATAAAACATGGAAACACAACGTGTGTGTGTGTGTAAAGATTATCATTTAAAAGTGTGTGATTGGTAAGATTTTTAGAAGTTTTTGAAAGAAGTTCAAGGCTGCATTTATTTGATCAAAAGTACAGTAAAAACAGTAGTATTGTGAAACCGTATTACAATTTAAAATAACGTTTATATTTGTATATACTATAAATGTAATATATTTGAAAAGCTGACTTTTCGGCAGCCATTACTCCAGACTTCAGTGTCACATCCTTCAGAAATTATTCCAATATTCTGATTTGGTGCTCAAGAAATATTTCTCCTAATTATCAATGCTGCTTATATATTTTTATGGAATCCATGATTCATTTTTTCAGGATTGTTTTGTTCAAAAGAACAACATTTATTTGAAATAGTAGATGCTTGCATATGGTTACAAACAGTCACTTTTGATCAGTTTAAAGCATCCTTGCTGAATAAAAGTATTAATAAATTATTATGATTATTATAATTTTTATTAATTAATAAAAATCTTACTGACTCCAAACTTTTGAACAGTATTATCATATATCATATATCATATCATATATATCATATCACTAAGTCACAAGCAAGTTGAAGATAGTGAGTGGTTTTGACTGAGGGCACATGAGGGTGTTGAAGGTGGGAGAGAGTGCTGTTTACTCCCTCTACCTACAATTCCTGCCGGTACTTAAACTTGAACCCGCGACTTTGTGGTTACAAGTCCAACTCTCTAACCATTAGGCCACAACTACCCTCAGGTCATAAGAGTAATTTGTATGTGAAACGGCATCATGACGCTGTTTGTTATTGCATGCAAGATACACTGGCGCCTCTGAAGATGTAAGGCCACCCTCCAAGATGAAATCTGACTAAACTGTGTATTTAATGCACACAAAGCTTTCCCGACTGTTGCTCATGGAGGCTAGATTTTAAATTGTTGCACTTTTTTTGTCACTTTTGTGACCGACTGGAGCCCTGAATAATATATTGTTGATTAAAACTCTCAGCATTTCATTCTGCACCACTGCCAAGTGTTTTTTTTTTGTTTTTTTTATCTCTCCCATCAGCCCTACTTCAGAAAACACAGTTCAGTACTCAGCCTGTCCAGATAATATAGTCTGTCCAGATCTGTTTCTCTATTGCATTTGGGCAGACAAGATGGTTATGGCTGATTTTGTCAGTAGGTTTATTTGCTGAACGCTTCCTGCTGCGTTTATGTTCAGGAGTTCCTGCAGAGTCAACAAGGGGAGGTTGCGGTGCTAGCGGTAGCAATTAGCCTTCTGCCATAATGATATTTGGAGAATGGATTGTGATTTGACAGAGGGAGGGTTGTGCTGGGTTCATATTCCATTTGTAAAAGTGCTCTGCAGAATGTCCTGTGCTACAATACATTTATGCTTTCTGTTTTACATTTACGAGGTCTGAATTGAATTATTGTCCTCTGGATGTATTTAAGAATATTCTTAAAAGGCCTATCGTACATTATTTTTCTCTCTCGTAAAAAAATTCTGAAGTGTCATATTTCTTCAAAAAGATGCTGACTCCAGTAATGCTTGATGGTTCAAGTCACTCTTGAGATATTGTTTACTTAAGTGCGTTTGTGAACGGAGGGCAGTTTCTCATCAGGAGAATAATTCTATTGTATATTTCCTTTCAGGTGGCTAAACTCAATCCCAAAGACCACAGCTTTACTCTAAAGGATGATTTCTACAGACATGTGCAGAGGGACTGGCCCAGCTATGTTGAGGAAGAGCGGCAACTCATTCAAAGGGTGTTGACAAGGTACATGCAGTATTCTCAATTCTCACAACATCACTTTTATCTTTTTATTAATATTTATTGTCGTTTTAGTGTGTCAGACTATCATCTTCTATACTTCACCTTACAATGCTTCACTTTGCTCTGCTTTACTTCCAACCTTTTTTGTCTTGCATAGACCCACTAGTAAGATTCAAGTACCCCTTCATTAAGACCAAATCAAAAATATGCTCTTTTTTTTTTATTATTCAAAACCTCTTTCATTGGCTTTTACATTAACTGTTTCCTCCTGGTGGAATGACCTGCCTAACTCTATCTTGAGTAGCCGAGTCTTTAGCCATCTTCAAGAAATGTCTAAAAACACATCTCTTCCATCCACACTTGACCCTCTAACACTAGCACTCTCTATTCTAATTCTATTTTATCTACTTGTTTTCTTTTTATTTATTTAAACGAAACACTTGCCTCTCACACTTGCACTCTCTATTCTATTTATATTCTAACTACTTCCTTTATTTTTATTATAAAAAAGACCCTCAAACACGAGCATTCTCTATTTTTTTCTATTCTATCTACTTTTTTCTTTTTATTTATTATAAAAATGACCCTCTAACACTTGCATTCTCTATACTTTTTCTATTTTATCTACCCATTTTCTTTTTATGTATTATAAAAAAAATATATAATAATAATAATAAATAAAAAACTTGCTACGTATACTGCATTAGGCTAACCAAGACTTGTCACAGCACTTACATATTATTGCTCTTTTGTTGGTTTTGATTGCTTCTATTGTCTTCATTTGTAAGTCGCTTTGGATAAAAGCATCTGCTAAATGACTAAATGTAAAATATTATATTGGATATTATTTAGAAATATCATTTAAATAATTTAAATCATTATTACAGTGATTCAGTTTGAATCATTACAATTGTGTATTTTAGTATTATTTATATAGTAATATAGTTTTAAACCGAAAATATTAAATAGAAGTTAAGTGAAAATATTAATAACATTTATATTAATATTTTCATTTAGCTTTTATTTTGTATTTTTAGATGTCATTTTAATTTTAATAAATGTGTTATATGCTTTTATAATTTTTAGTAGTTTTTTTGTATTGCTATTGATATTTTATTGTATTATCATTACTAGTTTAATATTGCTACTTTGATTTATTTAATTTATTTTTATTACAGTTTAGTTTAGGTTTGTTTCTTCTTCTTTTTTTCCTCTAGTCATTTTAGTACTTCAACTCAGCTTATTTCATTTAGAAGCCAAGGCAAATTTTAATTGTCGTTAAGTTTAAGTTTCTTATCTAATATTTATATTTAATTTTATTGAGATTTATTTCAGTTAACTTCACAATAAAAACCCTGCTTAGAGACATGCAAAACTTTCATAACAGTATTATTTCCTAATGTCCTGGTTTCCTAAGACTGGCTGATGACGTTTGGTACAGTATTGTCATCCAGGCCTTGCCACCGCAGTCTGCTGAGATGATGTGTTTTGGAGGCCTTATTAAGTATGCGCTTTAGCACAGATGATGTGGTTAATAGGCCTGTCTGAGCAGGAAGCCGTGCAATTCACTGTGCTGTTGAGTGGAATTATGCTGAAAGCTTCTGTGCAGCTGCATTCAGTCCCGGAACAATGGGGGAATAAACGGCAGCCATCCTGCCAAATACGATCTTGGCAGCCGTGTTTTTGGGAGGTTTTCCACACTCCGCCTAACTGACTGCATACTTTAGTTTCTTCTCTGCTTTCACCTCTGCCTCTCAGTTTTTATGTGCACTGCCAGTCTAAAGTATCCTAATGGGACAGATCAAGATGATCTTGCAATAAACCCCAGAACGGGACTTGCACAACACGGCATGTTTGCAGAAACATCCATGCACCGCTTCCTTTCAAAAGTTTGGGGTCAGAAATATATTTTTAAACGTTTTTCAAAGAAGTGTCTCATGCTCACCAAGGCTGCATTTATTGTAATGTAATGTAAAATGTAATATTGTGAAATATTATGATATAAAATAACTGTGCTACTTCATGTGATGGCAAAGCCGAATTTGCAGCAGTCGTTACTCCTGTCTTCAGTGTCACACGATCCTTCAGAAATCATTCTAATAATCTGATTTGATGCTCAAGAAACATTTCTTATCATAATCAATGTTGAAAAAAGTTCTGCTTAATATTTTTTTTGAAAGTGAAACCATGATGCATTTTTGAAAAGAAAGTTGAAAAGATTTTAAAAAGATTCTAATAGTTTTAAATTAGAAATATTTAGTAAAAATGTAAATGTCACTTTTTAATAATTTAATGGACACTTGCTGAATAAATAGTATCTTGCAAAAATATAAAGTCTTACTGACCTCAAACCGTTGAACGGTAGTGCATGTCACTCAGTGGGTTTACTGTAAAAAAAATAAAAAATATATTTGTTATTTATTTTAATTTTTTTTTAGTTATATAGTAGGAGGGCGTTTTTATTAAAATATTATAAGTTTTTACTATATACTCCAGAGTAGTTTAGTACATCAGGTTTGTCAGGGCATTGAAGCAAGATGCTTGTGAAGAACTATCCTTCGTGTGATGAAAAGCAGCTCTATGAGAGGAAGGAGCTGTAGGAAGCAGATTGCCAGAGGAAAGTTCCAGCAGAGTAGGAATGTCTCTGGCACCATTGTTCTCGTCACTGGACATTAGCAAGGCTTTTGCCAGTCCCACTGCAGATGTTATCAGCTACCCGGAAATGCTAAGCTAGACTAACAAGCCCCGGCGCTCTGGCCGAATGCTGTGCGAGAGTATAATGTTTTTACACTCCATTCAGGAACAGCCAAACCTGATTAACACTCGTGCAAATCCTAGACCTTGATCCTGAGCTTTAAATTTCTTCCGGTTTAGTTCTTCCATTTCCTGTAAACACAACCGCACCTTTTTATAGCTTTCTGGAACTGGGAAGTTGATCTCAACTCGGGACAGTTGACAGATTTGTTTCAGAAATTAATTAGCAAAGGTTTCCTAGTGGCAAGCATGAAAGGAATGACTTTTTGACGGAATCTCACTCTCTGATATTTCAGAAAACTCCAGCCTCTCAGCAGCAGCAGTAGCCAGTTGAAAAGCGTCCAGTCCAGCCATTCATTCCACAAAACCTCAGGGGATTCTCCATCCCAACTCAGCCCTGTCAAGAATCTCTCCATGGTAAAAATGCACCTATAAAAAGAAGTGCTACTTTTCCTCTGTCTGTCTCATTTTAAAGCTTTTGCATGCTGTAGTATCTATGCAATGGACTATCAGGTTCTTGTGTGCACTTAAACAGGTTTGCCGTTGAATGTATGATTGAGAGTGAGAAGAGCCTCTTTTTTTTTTTTCTTGTGAAGATCATATTTGGTGCCGTCTGCTCTTTATTTATGGAGATGCTGGAGGCGCTTCAGTCACTGCTGTTTGCAGGAGCCAATTAAGCTGCCGGTCCACACTATTGCTGTTTTCCATCTGCAAAGTTTGTGAAATCTCCTTCTTTCTTTACTCCCAGAAACGCCCAGTGCCTTCCGACCATCCAGAAAGCCAGACGCCAAAAAAGCAACGTTTATTAGACCAGAACATGCCCTTGCAATCGCCTTCCAATGGACATCTCATCTCCTCCATGGGCCGTAGCACTTCTGCTCATGGAAACACAAGTTTGCAGAGGGGCACCAGTACAGCTCAGCAGAGCCCTGATGGTCTTTACCAGCGGCACAAGCTCGGCGAGTCCAACAGCGTGCCCAAACCAGAACAGCCAGAACCAGCACAGCAGCCATCGTCCAGCCCCAAATACCCAAGAACTGAACCAGAAATCTGCACTGACCAGCAGCTAGCAAACGGCCAGCACAAAAAGAAGTCCAAGAAGCATAAAGAAAAGGAGAGGGAGCGCTTAAAACCTGAGTGGGTCAAGACCAGTCCGGACCTCAAACAGAACCGGGAAAATATTAAAGGTGAGTTCAAAGGTTTAAAGGTAGAGGTGCAATATATTTGCGGCCAATATATAATTTGCAAAGGAAAATAATATATACACTACTGTTTAAAAGTTTGGGGTCAGTAAGGGTTTTCTGTTGTTAAGGAAATTTCTAAATATTACTTTATGATTTATACTTTATTTGGGTTACTTAATCGCAAACAACCAGCTAAATCAAACATACACATTCTCAACTTCTAGTCAACATGGTAAATAAAACAAATAACAGGGAAATGTATACTTTTTTTCAGCAGGGATGCATCAAATTGATAAAAAGTGACAGTAAAGACATTTATTTAAAATGTTACAAAAGACAAAACCGTTATTTTAAATCGTGCTAATATTTCAGTTTTTTTACATTTTTTTTTTTTTTTTTTTATGAAATAAATGTAGCATTGGTCAGCATGTAAGATTATTTTTTTAACCCCACCACCACAAAAACAAAAAAACACTTTTGAGCGGTAGTCTTTATAACTGGGAACGTTAAATGATTATCAGTACTAACTGTGTAATTACAGCATAATTAATTTTAATTTATAATTTGTTAGTGTATTTACTTGTGACAATTACACATTTTTTTCTAATTGTTGGCCAATGTACATAGATATTATTTAAAATAAATATTAATTACACATAAAATTATATTTAACAGCATTTTAAGCTGTACTGTTATTGCCAATGAGATTTAGAGTCCGCAGTAAAATATTGTATAACAGCATGATGTTATGATAGTTACATGTTATGATGTCAGGCAGTGATAATGGTAGGGATTGTGGTGATCATAATCAATATTTATTAGCACTGCCAAAAGGCCAATGGAGTCATTGTTTCTCAGAGGGCATTTCACTAGATGTTTTTTGATGCTGAATAACAAACAGCCTGTTTCAACTCTGCCACTGCAATTCCTCTCAGAAGTGGCTCACTGTGAGACGCTTTCATTTCAAGTGAAATGATAGCAGAACAGGTTCAGACTTGCCAAGCAATTCAGGAAATATTCCTGTATGTTTGTGTGCGAGGTGACTGCTCGTCTGCGCCCTTCCTTAGCGCCAGGGTGGATGATTAACTTAACTAACCGCTGGGTGACCCACTGTAAAACGTTTTGACGTCTTGTCAGGCAGCCTTTGTCAGCGACGACTGCCCCCCACGTCCCTTATCGCAAGATTTGATAAATGACTCCATCAGCCTGGGCAGTATGGCACTTTGATATGTTTGTGTAGTGAGATTACATAAACCATTGTATCGTTCTTGTCTGTGTTATTGTGTAGACCATGAACGACCCAACACGCCTGTCACCCGTGCCTCGCCCGATGAGCTGCCTGACTATTTATTGTAAGTAAGACCAGATTTCGGTTTATTTTACTGGTTTGTGCTTCTGTAATTACAAGGTGGAGATTGTCTGCTGATGATTAAGGAATACAAAATGAACTGTGTTGCACATTTAAAGCTATAGCGTGTAATTTTATTGAGCGGAATGTAAGAATTTAAGTTACAAGTTCAAAATATAGAAAACACAAAAGTCTGTTTTGTTTTTGCTTTTAAATGTTCTGTATTTGAGCTTTTAAAAGCACTGGTATTTTCAGACAAACGCCCCAAGAATGAAAATAAACATTTATTTTAATATGTAGTGCCACCTACTGGTTTCTCTTGGGAATCTGCCTAACGACTTTATTTACTGTCACTGTTAAAATGGTTTAGTTCACTCAAGAAACTTTTCTTTCCAGAAAATACAGCACTATTACAGACTCCGAGCAGCAGCAGAGGTACAAAGAGGATTTTTGTGCGGAATATGACGAGTACAGAGACCTACATGAGCGTATAGGGAAAGTCACCGAGATATTTGTTCAACTGGGATCAAAGATAAAGACGCTGTCTCCTGGGACACACAAGTATAAGGTTTGGGGAAAAAAAACATATACGCTATTGTTCAGATGTTTGGAGTCAGTAAGATAGATTTTTTAAAAGAAATAATTTATTTTATTTAAGGACGACACATTAAATTGATCCAAAGTGACATTTATGCATTTATAATGTTTCAATAAAAATGTTTTTATATAAACATTTAAATAAATGCTGTTCCTTTGAACTTTTGTTCATCAAATAGTCCTAAAAAATGTATCACTGTTTCCACAAAAAGCATCAAATTGCAATGATTTCTGTAGGATCATGTGACACTGAAGTCTGGCTTGTTTACTTGTGGAAGAATGTGTCTTTGTTTTACAAGATAATGCCTTGGCACACCTTATATAACAGTTACATAATACATGGTGTCAGAGGTTATTTTAGATTAATGTGTTTTTATTTATTTTGTATTATTCTAGGTAATGGAAGTTCAAATAATGGAGAAGTATAGGAAGTATAAGAAGGTAAGAGAATTGCATTATGTGTGTTGACAGTGTTTGCAAGGCACACATTGAACTGCATATTTGCAAACTAGGGCTGGGTAGAAATATTACTTTTTTTTTGGTTTAATTATGAGCCTTATTTGAATAATCTGATTGTAATTCTTAAAATCCCATTGATCTTTCAGTGTTTTTAGATTTATCTATATGCTATTATAATATTTATACATTTTTAATTGCCTTTTATTTTTATTTTATTTTATTTTTGTTTTAATATGATCCAGTCATTTGAGTTTTTCAACTTGAATTTATTTGGTTTAGTTGCCAAGGGAACATTTCTAATTTTCATTTTAAGATTTGAAGTTAACATTTTTAATTTAATGTTTATATTTCATTTTTATTTCAACTATAATGAAAACAATTGTAATAGTTCTTAATCATTGTTAACAATAACAACACTTGGACCTTTCATATTCTGTGAATACTAAACACGAGTTGTAGTGAACCTTCCGTCCAGCAGATGTCAGCACATTTTTGACAGCAAAGAATATTTCACTTACAGATAAAAAGTGCATCAGTACTGTTACCCACCTCTAAAGGGCACATTTTGAAGATCTTGTTTTTGTCCCTACAGAAGTTTCCAGGCTACAGGGAAGAAAAGAAGCGCTGCGAGTATCTCCATCAGAAACTATCGCACATCAAAGGCCTGATTCTGGACTATGACCGCACACAAGCGCCCTCCTAGTGCCAGCCGTTCCACTCTCCTCCTCCTTCCCAGTCTGGTCGCACGGACCAAAAGACTCCTCAGTGGAAAATAAACCAGGACCAAATGTCTCTTCTTGAGCATGACAAGGCATTTCCACGTCTTTCCTCCACACAAACTGTGGGTGACAATGTAGAGGCTGAGGATCTAAGCCCAAACTATCTAATAAAGGCCAAGACCTCCGACTAGTGA